GAGAACTCTTTGTAACAACAAAGATGAACTGAAGGCAAGTATTATGACAGTATGCGACAACTTAAAGAAGGAGATCGTCCAGAAGAGATGCCGGGGATTCAAGTCATCTGGAGACCGTGGTTGAAGCCAATGGCAATTTTTAAAATTAATTTTAATCTTCAGTATTTTAAAATATGTTTACAGAAAATTACACAAAAAAAGATGTGTTATAATGAGATGCCAGTGTTATTTTCATTTTTTTTTGCCTAATTTATACGACAATTTATCCATCGCACCCTGCATATCTGTTAAAATGAGATGTCCGTATTATTTTCCTTTTTGTGTCATTAAGACGACAATTTATCCATCGCACCTTGCATATCTGTTAAAATGAGATGTCCGTATTATTTTCCTTTTTGCGTCATTTAGACGACAATTTATCCATCGCACCTTGCATATCTGTTAAAATGAGATGTCCGTATTATTTTCCTTTTTGCGTCATTTAGACGACAATTTATCCATCGCACCTGTTAATTTATATATATATATATATATATATCAGTCGTATTCTGTCAGTAATGCTTTCTTAGATTCCTGATCATCGATAATCCTCTTCCTTTATTTTCGCATCACTTTCTGGAAATGCATTTGAATTTGATTTTCATTAAACGATATACCAATTGAGTACCAAAATTTGCTTAAGCTAACTTTCCATAAGGTTTTTAGAATTACACTTAGCTACAGGTAGGTTGAGATTCTTTGATTCTATTTCACCACACGTCCGAATTCAGACAACTGAATTGCGCTCTGTTTGTTTACAGTAACACAATTTAGGCATAAACTGTAGTTTGTCCACCGAAGGACAGATATTACACTTGGTCTCAGCTCGATGACAATGGAGCGAAGTTAAACGTAATTGAAGTAGCACTGGCTGTTCGATCAATGAATTCCGAATGTTTTTATATAAGGAAACGGCTAATATTACCATTACTATGAAAAATAAAAAAAAACAACCTTATCGGTCTTAATTAATAATTTAGGCTTAAACTAGTCCAGTAATGAAACCAAATGTAGGGAGGTATGAAGTCGGAAGATTGAATTTCGTCTATCTTTCAAGTAATGGGAGAATGTGTGTGCCTAGAAAATCATTATTGTCATTTGAGATCCTGGCCTTTCACGTAGGTTTGAACACAGACTTCTGGCACTTGCTGAGAAGTAACTGTTTAAGCAGACCATACTTCCTTGTTTAAGTGCCAGTCATAGTTTAATGCTTTTCTTTGTATTTCTGTCTCTCTGACAGAATGTTGATCATTTGGCTTGGTAACATTGTCCAGCCTCTGGAAGGGTAAACTATGAAACATTAAGGACGATCTGATTTCATTTAAATTCTTTGGCCCAGTCAGCAGTAAGGGTTTACAGATGTTGGCGTCATTGTAGAAATAGTCTCTTCTTTCCATTTTAAATGATATTCTCTTTTACTCAAATAGATCTCAGTCCACGAGAAAATGTGTTTCTCATTCATTTGCCAATAGAAGAAATTATTTTCTTCGTTTGCTTGACAGTGATAGCCTATTCTTATTTCTCGTTCTATTTTGCTGTTTTAGTTTCTTTAAATTTGTTCTGTAAACTTCAATTATTTTTTTCCTCTCACCTTTTTCTTCATTTTTTCCCCTCCATATTCTTTTTTCTTCTTTTCTCATATTCTCTTTTCTTTTTTCTTCAAATTCGTTGTTTATAATTTTCCTTTTATTTTTTTCATTCTTTTTTCCTCTTCTTCCCTGTTTATTCCTTTGCCCTCTTCCTCCCTGTTTATTCCTTTGCCCTCTTCCTCCCTGTTCATTCCTTTGCCCTCTTCCTCCCTGTTCATTCCTTTGCCCTCTTCCTCCCTGTTCATTCCTTTGCCCTCTTCCTCCCTGTTCATTCCTTTGCCCCCTTCCTCCTGTTCCCTGTTCATTCCTTTGCCCTTTTGCCTCTTCCTCCCTGTTCATTCATTTGCCCTCTTCCTCCCTGTTCATTCCTTTGCCCTCTTCCTCCCTGTTCATTCCTTTGCCCTCTTCCTCCCTGTTCATTCCTTTGCCCTCTTCCTCCCTGTTCATTCTTCTCCTCCCCCTGTTCATTCTTCTCCTCATCCTTTTTCTCATTCTTTCCCCCTCTTCCCTGTTCATTCTTTCCTCCTCTCTTCTCACCGTTCGTTTTCATTCGTTGTTTTCCTATTTAATTTCTTATTCCTCTCTGTTCATTCTTTTCTCCTCCTCTCCTGATCATTCTCTCCTCCTCCTCCCTATACTCTCTGTTCCTTCTATCCTCTTCTGCATCTTTCTTTCCTCCCACTCATCTTCTTTGTTCATTCTTTCCTCTCCTTTTTCCTCTCTGTTATACTTTTTTTTATTCTCCTCTTTTTATTTTCTCTTCCTTTTACTTTTCCTTTCCCGTATCTTTATTTTCTTAATTTCTTCATATTTTTTTCTTATTTCTATATTTTCCTTCTTTCTTGTTCTCGTCTTTTTTTTTCTTCCTTTCTTGATCTACCTCATTTGGCTCATAGCTTTCTTTTATTTATGATTCTTTCTTTTCTACCTTTTCTCTTTTTCTTTTCACTTTCTTCTCTCTTCCATAGTTTCCTTTTGTTTCCTCTGACGTTTTTTTTCCCCTTCCCAACTTCTCTCTTCATTTCTGTTCTCTTCTTTTGCTTCCTCTGTTTTCATTCCCCCACTTCTTTCACCACATCAACTAATTCATTCCGCTGAATTGTCTTCTCCTCAAATTACTTATGATGATTACTTGCCATCATTTAAGCAAATTATTTACAAAAATAAACCGGTAAATAATGAATTAAATCTAAACATTTTAGACAAGCCTGAGACCAGAAGGATTTGTGTCAGAAATAGCGAGACCCTTGTCATCAATCTTCTTTACCGCTATTTCTCTGCCCTCGGTGTAGCCGTGAATTTTTTTTTTTCAGTCAATATAATATATATATATATATATATATATATATATATATATATATATGATAATCTTATCAGTGTTATTCTTTGGGCTGATTTAAATTAATACTCACAGTATTTTAGTTTCTGGTTTGGTTTATAGTAATCTAATTTAATTTCCTTCTGAATAACTGTGATGTGGAGACTTCATTATTTACATTATTTTTATTCGGATTATTGTTCTCATCTTTGCTCACTCTGTAAAATCCCTGAGAGCCATTCTGTACCCCTCTATCTTGAGTAAGAGGCACAGTTCATGGGTTATGTGGTGAGAGATACTATTTAACCTTAGACTTAAGAATGGATGATCGGGAAAGTATACTCTTGGGAGTTGTTTCCACATATGGTTCAGATTATGAGAAGTGGCTTACATCAAGAAGTATTCAGAAACATCTATACATACATACATACATATATATACATATTATCATTATATATATATATATATATATATATATATATATATATATATATATATATATATACGAAATGTATTAGACATATTATAATATTCATATTTATTTGTATCTGACTCCCCTCCTTAAAACTTCTCTATATTAAATTTTAATCCCCACCTTCACCTTTAGCCTTTCCTGTTCTTCTCTCGTCTGTTACCCCTCCCCAGAGCTTTCATTTACTCTCGCATTCGTCCCACACTCTCACTAAATTTTATTTTTTATTCCCGGAGTTATTTTTTCTGATTTCTTTTTGGATTTGTCGGTCTGATGAATTGGATCGTATTTACGATTCCAATGGAATAAATTATGACCATGGAATATTAGTGTTTAAGGCTTTTTATTATATCCTTACTCTGTCCTGGACGTTGAGTTCTACCTGGATTCTATCTTCTTGGATTTTTTTACACACACTCATATTATAATGAAAACTCCACGTCACAGATATTCAGAAGAAATTAAGTTGTGTGTGTGTGTATATATATATATATATATATATATATATAGAGAGAGAGATGTAAAATATATGTTCGGATTCTAGTCAGCATTCTCTACATCCACTTACGCGCAAATATATGCGTACGATCACCGAAATTAAGCAACGTCAAACCTCGTCAGTACTTAGATGGGTGACCGTTTCGGAATACCAGGTGCTCTAACTTTGGATGTGCGGCTGGTGCATTGGATAACGGCACAGAATTGTTAATCTGTGAGCGGAGTTCCAATTTCCCTTGGGTTCGTTATATTCACTTACGCGCAAATATCCTTGGGAAAGCTATGAATTTCATATCATGAAACCATTCTTATCTCTAAAAAAATTCTTGCAATAATAAAAAAAATATTTTCTAGTCTTAAACAACCTGCGAAGGGTTGATAAGCCGTAGAAAACAAATTTAAATTTGAAAAAGTTTAGAGTAAATTAAATGTGTTCCTGAGAAATGTTTGTTACGATTTTTTTATCAGTTAAAATATTATTTTCATTATTTACAAGCATCAAGGTTGATTTTTATCGAAATCAGTTATCTACAATTTTTTTGGTTATGTTAGTAGACGATATGAAAACAAAGGTGATTTTATTTGTCTCTAGTAAGTTTTCACTGAAAAATACTAAGGGAAATGGAGAACATTTTGTAGACGAGAATTAAGTTTTTCAAAATTTCCAAATACTTTGTGTGGATATTACGGATGAAATAAGATATTATAGTCTTACACAAGGCGGTTAAAATGTGTAATTATTATTGTTAAATTAAATATAACAATGTGGTAGAGATATTTTGCAGGAGAAATAAAATTGACTTCCTTCAGAATATTCACGCCTTTTTCCTTATTTTTTTTTTTCCTGCAGCGGCCTTTTCTAATTTAGGCCATTGAAATAAAGAAGTTCACAGGTTTATGATAAAAAACGATATTACATTGATATGTTACAAAAAAAAAAAAAAATGATTTTTTTTTTATAGAAAATGCAGTGATATCCCTTTCCTTTTCTTTTTTTCCCTCTCTTATTCTTGATTCATGTTTTCTTTCAATCACAAACGTATGCACACATTTAACAGATTTCTTTGAATAAGTCTTCATAATTATGTCTTCTTCACTTCCTTTTCTTTTTCTACTGTCTTTCCCATTAATTAACTTTATCTTTTTCTCTTTTTGCTTCATGCTGCTTTTTTCTTCTCCTTCTTTTCTTCTCTTTCTTTGTCCTCTTCATTTCTCGCCCTCTTACTCCTTTGTTCTCTTTTTTTCTCCTACTATTCCTTTGTCCTCTTTTTTCCTCCTCCTACTCCTTTGTCCTCTTCTTTTTTCCTCCTCCTACTCCTTTGTTCTCTTCTTTTTTTCCTCCTCCTACTCCTTTGTCCTTTTTTCCTCCTCCTACTCCTTTGTCCTTTTTTCCTCCTCCTACTCCTTTGTCCTTTTTTCCTCCTCCTACTCCTTTGTCCTTTTTTTCCTCCTCCTACTCCTTTGTCCTTTTTTTCCTCCTCCTCTCCTTTGTCCTTTTTCCTCCCTCCTTTGTCCTTTTTCCTCCCTCCTTTGTCCTTTTTTCCTCCCTCCTTTGTCCTTTTTCCTCCTCCTTTGTCCTTTGTTTTTTTCCTCCTCCTTTGTCCTTTTTTCCTCCTCCTACTCCTTTGTCCTCTTCTTTTTTTCCTCCTTCTCTTTTGTCCTATTTTCCTCCTCCTCCTCCTCCTTTGTCCTCTTCTTTTTTTCCTCCTCCTTTGTCCTCTTCTTTTTTTCCTCCTCCTTTGTCCTCTTCTTTTTTTCCTCCTCCTTCTCCTCCCTCTTTTGTCGTGTTCTTTTCACCTCCTCCCCTTCTCTCCCTGCTGCTCTTGTTTTCTCTTCCAGTTTTTTTTCTTTATTTTCTTACTTTTTACCCTCTACCCTTTGTCCTCTTTCTTCTATCTTTTCTCCTTGTCTTTATATTTTTCTTCTCTCAGTTTTCCTCTAATTTTCTCATTCCCTTCTCCTTTGTCTCTTTCAATAAAAAGCTTCTTTTTTTTTTTCCCTCCCCATTCACCTGCAGATCAATAGCACAAAATCCAAATATTTCCATACATCTTTATTGAAAACCCCAGAGATCAATATCCTTTCAGTACACACTACGAGCCAGCCCCTACCGAAGTCATCAATTTTCAGCCTCACTAATGGGGCATGATGATCACTGCAGCTTTCAGTAAACCTCTTTGTGATAAGTCACGGATGATCAGAACTGAGCACGGAAAAAGATGCCATAAATTTCTTGTGATAACGCCACCTTTAACGCATTCCAAGTATCTAGTGGCTTGGCCTGGCCAAAGAATACCAAGTGGCCATTGATAAACATTAAATCGGAAAAGTAACTCTGATGTCTGTTTGCATTCCGTCCTACTAAAGAGATTACGTTATCATTGAAGAATAACCGATAAGCTTAGGATATTTCATAGCTATATAGAAAAGAAAGATGCGAAGGTGGTGTAGTTATGAGCAATTCCGAAAAAAATAGAATTGGTAAGCAAAGTTCATGTTCCATTAATTTTCCCGCTTCTACTATTAGAGAAAAGCTTAATTCCATATTTTTTTCTTCTCAGCTATTGGTAAGATAGACTGGGTTCTATTGCTTTAACAGGATAACCACTTAAGGGGAAGGGTAGCTTTGAATTCGAAACTGGGGAAAACCACTCTTACTATCTTTCAATTCATGAGAGGTGGGTTAATTTACAGATATTATTATAAAAAGAGGAAGTTGTGGAAAGCCAGAATCGCCTGTGTCTCGATTACTGTTAATTATAGATCGGCTAAGAATGACATTGAACAGAAAATTAGTATCCTCTACCAAGTGTTCCAAGAAATAGGACTTAAGAAGGTAAACCTTTCCAAAACAGAAACTATGATCTGGAATTGGAATAAAATCAGATCTTCTGAATCCATCATAAAAAAAAAAACAAGATGTGGAATTATTAAATACTAAATACTTCAAATACATTGGTGTATGTATCTGTTAAAGCAAATTTTGTATAGGAGATCGGGAATTTTAACATTAAATAGGCTCCGCTAGAGGTAGTTTTGCCCTAAACCGCAAGTTGCTTCATAACCAAAACGTCATCCTAAAACTTGAATCATGTTCTTAAATCGCCTCGTGTCGAAACTTTTATTTGCATGTCATGCATGGCGATAAAATCGTCCAGTAATATATAAACTGTCAGCTGTACACAATCCCGCTTTCTCAGATCAGTGGTTAAAAATGGCTTTGTGTGAATGAAAGGTGTACGTCCAATTTTCATCGAAACACGTTGACTGGCACAACAGAATCCTCCAAACAAAGAACTGTGCCAATTAACAGAATGGTTCAAGATGAGGAATTAGTAAATAGTAAACAGTTTAAAAACCTCTATTTATGGATCAGTTATAACAAATTTAGTGCAGGAGATAAGGACATTGAACAGTCTTAAAGCAACAGAAATGTGGTTCTACAGAAAGATGCTGACAATACCATGGACAGAACATGTGAGAAACGACAAACTTCTTGAGACAATGGCAACGCAAAAGGACACTTATACTTAATATCAAGAAGAGACAGTTGAAATTTCTGTGACGCATAATGAGGGAAGGGTGTTGGAAAATATGATACTCACAAGGCAGATCGAAGGAAAGAGAGACAGAAGAGAGCAATGCATAACCAACTTGGCGAGATTCAGTAAATAGATGGCGGAGCAATGTTTTTGAGAGATGGCAAAAAGAAAATTTATTAAGATGATTGTTTTTCTCACTGAGATCAAGCAGTTTCTCTGATATGTCTTTTCCTCGCAATCAAAACGGAACAGTCCATTATTTATGAGGTAGTGGTAGGGCGTTTATTTCTTTATTTCCTTTTGGCTTACGACCACATCACATGAAGCTCGGGCTGTTGCTTTGGATATCTCGAGGATATTTGGCAGGGTTTGGCATACTGTTCGTCTTCACAGGTTGAAAGGTTATGATATTTCTGGAGGAATTTTTAACTGATTCAGTTTTTCTTATCAAATCCAGAAATGAAAGTTGTCTCGAATGACCACTCTTCTAGATCTTTTTGCATAAATGCAGGTCTTCCCCAGTGATCTATCCTTTAACATTCGTTGTTCCCAAGCTTCATAAATGTCGTTCCAAATGTCATTAGTTTTCCTTCTCGGACTAATGTGTGTGTGTGCGTTCGCTAGAATAATTGAATAAATTTTTTAAACTTTTCTTCCTGACATAGAATGCCATTCTCTGATAAAATCATTAAGAATGCATTAACATTAGCCACGCAATAGCTCGATTCCTAAGGTAAGGCTTGCATTAATTCTTGAGCACTTTATTTTCAATGCGTTCGTAGTTTTAAATTATTTAGCTATGCATTTACATTACACATTAATTCCTGAACAGTGAAAATGATTTCTCTTGGAAAGATTTCCATGGAAATTTAAAAAAAAACTGCTAATAACTGCTCTGAGACTCTTGCTGACAAGTACTTCCAAGAAAATATTGTATTCCTTTATTATCTGCATAAAAGTTGGTTTGAGAGAACTCCAACTGCTTTATTTTTTTAACATCTACAGTCGAGTGTCTGCGACAAAAAAAATTCCTTATTAAAAGGTTTCACCAATGATTTCTTTCACTGTCAATTTCTCTTCTTTTTTTATTTTTTTATAAGAGGCTGTAGATACAAAGTAAGAATAGACAATTTTATGATTTTCTATTTTATCATTTGAACAGATTTCATTGTCTGTCTTAGATACTGATGGTACTGCAATAAATGGTCAGTTTTGAATTATTGGCAGTCTGGAAAGGTCCAAGATAAGCGATATCATTTTTAGGTTCTTCTATGTACAAAGGAAGAAAATTGATTTTTTTCTCTAAGGCATATTTCTTTTACAATTCTTTTTCTGTTACCAAATAAAGATCCTTTGTTGGATATGCATGAGAATGAAAGGTAATAATTTATGAACTTAATATTATGTATGTATATCTGTCTGTCGGTCTGTTCCTGTCTGTCTGTGAGGAGGTGCTATAAACTTTTCAGCCTAACCAATACCGAAGGGCAAGAAATTCTCATATATATATATATATATATACACACACACACACACACACACAAGTATAGGATTGGTATAGACGGAATAAAATTCCAATAACCAAAAACACCATTATTAAAAGACTGCTCAATACAGAGTAGAGTAAATAGTCTTTATTAAAAAAAAATATAGCATATATATGTTATAACATCACTACAAAAATAGCCAACACTTCTGGTGTCTTATCAAGTGATGGTGTTGATTGCGAAAAAATTTTTTAATAAATACTATATATATATATATATATATATATATATATATATATATATATATATATTCATTTTTGGAAGTGCTATCTGATGATCCGGCGTCCTTTAGATGGGCTCTGGTGAAAGAAATTATTATAATGGTAATTTAAAAGTAGTCTGTTTTTTTTAATATATATATATATATATATATATATATATATAATATATAATAAGAATTAATGAATTGATTATTAATCCGACATTTTTATTAATTCAAACATTATTTTAGTGGATAATCGTATTGCTCGAGATCGCAAGTTGATGTAATACACAGTTTATAATAAAAATGGAACTTCTATTTCGAATTTCGGCATCTATTAAAATTAACGTTTGGTGTCTTTATATATATATATATATATATATATATATATATATATATATAATAGAGAAGCAGTGAAGGCATACGAATTAACATTGCATAATGGCTGTCAGTTTCAACAAGTTTGAAGTTTCTGCTATTTAGCACATTTCTCCTATATAACATTTTTTTAGATTTATAATATATATATATATAAACTAAAAACCTAACGAGCCGGAAACTATCTACCTAGGTTTCACCTAACGGATCATCAGGATAACTCTGGCTAAAGTGGGTTGGGCCAAATGGCTTAAACGACATTTATTTGAAAAAAAAGAGAAAAAAAGTTACCATAAAAACAAACAAAGGAAAACTTTTAGTTTTTGCTCTACTAGGTATACAGAGCACCTTTTGCGTTTTAACTTTTGTCGTTGTTTTTTTTCTTTTGGTTATACTTTGCTGTGCCGGTTGACTTTTTTTTGTTGTTTTTCTTTTCTTCTTGAATTTCTTTCCCTGGTATAAGTTTATCTAATATTTCTTATTTACAAATTGTATAATCTGTTTTTTCCCCCTCTCCGCCTGAGTATAAGTAATAAATAAAAATAAAGTAAATAATCGATGAATTTGTAGATAGGGTAATGAATTGCTGCTCGGAATGAGAAACCGGGTGGCCGAATCTAAACTCTTAGTGTTGACTTAATTATTAGGCAGACTGGGCTCTTAAGCCTTGAATGGCAACTAGTCTAGAAGAAGGAAAACTCTGAAATTCATATTCTTTTGGAGACCTTGTGGCGCAATGTGCGTCAGTTCTCTGTATTCAGTTCTTCCGAAAAGTGTGGTTGGCTCTGCACAGGCAAATCAAATTTTGTTTACAGGTAGTCTGGTTTTTCCATTCTGAGTATTGAGCTGCTAGACACTTATACGTCGGAGATGACTGGAGAGTCCGTCATATCTTCCTGTCTCCCTTTGTATATATTTATACGAACTGACAATATATTCGTCCATCGCAGCTTTCTCAGAAGGCTTCATTGATAAGAAATAAAGAATGATGCTAAATATCACTTGCTAATCTTTGTCGCCATAATTATTACAACGTTTCGACCGTTGTACGCTCCGGCCTTCTTCGGGTGGTTGGAATGTCGAACTGAACCCTTTATTTCGCTTACTGGGATAGACTGTTCTAGTACCACGTGCCATGTTTAATGGATGTCAGTTATCAGTTATCTCCTCTTAATTTCCCTCTGAACGTTTTCCACAGTCTTAACCGGGTATTGAACTCAGACTCTTTGAGTCCTGTGACTAGATCTAACCAACGCATTTATCCTCTGTCCTT